ACTTATAATAAACCCTTTTTATCAACATATAAGAATCATTCTATTCGTTTCCCTCATTGATACTAACAGCCGTAATCTTATCTGAAAGTTTGTTCTAGAACAGGGGTCGGCAACCTTTTGAATCGGAAGAGTCAAAAATTACAATTTACAAAATTTCAAAGTTTTTAAAGAGCCACAAAAATTTTCTTGCCAACAATAAATAGTACTCGCATAAATAAAGTTTTTTGATAAAAAAAAAAAACTAATCTATTTATTCATAAGAAAAAATATCTATTTGTTCATATATAAGTAGTGTTTTCCACAGCAAATTAGATAATATATATATGGCATTATTACATAATTACATATTATTTAATTAAAAAATTAAACATTTACTTACAACACTAACTTGCACTTCAATAACAAACAGTTGAGCAAACAATTTCAATGGGAGCGATGGCTTTGCATGGTTATTCAAGTAGAAAATTTAAACTTTACTAAATAATGTCACTTGTACTTAAAATAAAAAAAAAACCAATAACATACATTTGAGCAAACAAATTCAATGGGAGCGTTGGCTATGCATGGTTTTAGAAAATTTGGATAAATTTGGCTCATAACTTGTTATTTTAAGTTTCAAACACGACTCTAAATTTTCATTTGTTAGTTGGCTTCTTACTTTACTGTTAATTATATTCATGCAAGAGAACGCTTGCTCGCACGAATATGTCGATCCGCAGATAGTCAGCACTCCAAATGCCAACTTCTTCACCTCACTGTAGCAATCTGGAAGACTATTCCATGCTTCGAATATAAGTGCCTCAACTCGCGGCATTTCTTTTAAAGCTGTCCACTTTTGTTACGTTACGTACATACATTTCTGGACCTCCAACTTTCCAACTTGCTTTTCAACTCTGTAAATTTTCCACTCGTACCTCGTGTCAACAGTTGCACTGGTTTTATCGCGGTATTGCTTTAGAAATTCAAAATGAAGTAATTTACCGCTCTGAATATATTCTTCAAAAAGAATTAATTTTTCTTCAAAACAAACCAATTCTTGTACCAAAACGTAGGCTGGGTTTCCCTTTCCTTGCAGTTTTAGATTCAGCTCATTTAATTTCGCTGTGATATCCACCATAAAGTAAAATTTTTGCAACCATTTGTCGTTCTGTAATTCAGGGTGATTAATGCCTTTTTCATTTAGGAATGTATTTATTTCATTCAAGCACAAAGCAAAACGTTTCAACACCTTACCTTTGGAATGCCATCGCACTTTATTGTTAAGGAGGTCGGAATACTGAGTCTCCATTTCGTTTAAGAATTCTTTAAATTGACGATGGTAGAGTGCTTTTGACAAGATACTGTTTACAATCTTGATTACCAAATTCATGACCTCAACTATTTTGGGCTGAAATGTTTGGGCACAAAGCGCTTCTTGGTGTAATATGCAGTGAAACGTAAGAATTTCATGGTTTATTTTGCTCTGAAAAATCGTTGCTGCCCCTTTATTTTTTCCTATCATACTTCTGGCTCCATCAGTTGCTATTGAAACGATTTTATTTAAATCGATCTTATTGTCTTCAAAGCCTTTTTACAAGACATTCTCTATATCTTCCCTCTAGTTTGTCCCGAGAGCGGTAGCAATCCTAGAAATTCTTCTTTTGGACCTTAGGAAGACATATATCTGACAAAAGGTCAACTTGTGCCGTGTCGCATGACTTCGTCGCATGATTGTCGCATGACTCATCTATAGCAAGTGATAAGGCAGAAGAAAGTTGAATATCTTCCACCTACAAATATTTGAAGACATTTTAGCTATTCTATCTTGTACTGTTTTAGCGAATAGAGGGAAAATCTTTGATTTTTTCAAGATTTCTGGTTTGTTTTTGAAATCACGAAACAGTTCTTCAGATGCACGTATGAAGCAATCTTTGACATACTCACCATTAGGGATTGCAATACCGGGATACAGAATACCGGTACTTTGAGCCATTTGTACAATTTTGTAATACCGGTATTCACAAGTTTAAATACCGTTTTTTCGGTATTTATTAGAAATTTAGAATTCTTAACTGGAAAGAATTCTTATCTGTGATTTCTTATTCAGGATTCTTATCTGAAAACTAGGAATTCTTATCTGTGAAAACAAGGTTGTAGTTGTGAAGAAAATGTGTAATACTTCGATAGTTTTTAAATTGGTAAGTTTGTTATTCACATTGTATTTGCATATCAAACTTTAGAGTTCAAAATATTTTTCGAATTTATTATATATACTCATAAATAAATTAGAATTGGCGGTAACTAAAAAATTTTCAAAAATAACAAAATACAATACAGAAATCAACTATATCCAAAACAATCCGACGAGAAATAGATTTATTTGATGATGAGGGATTTAGAGGTAAATACTTGGAATCGCGCTTTGCTAACAGTTCCACCCACTAGCGTAGATGCTGAAAGCGAGTTTTCGACAGCTGGTAATTTTTGCACAAAATTACATTCCAGGTTTAATGATAGTACAATTGATGCATTATGTTTTTTAAGATCACGTTTCTAAAATTTGTAATAGTACCACAGACTGAATAGTGATATTTATACTCTTTTTTGATTTAAATAAATAAGATGTTCCTTTACTTTTTTGCGATTCTTTATATACTATCATAGTTTATAAGTTACAAATTTTTTTTGTGATATTTACATTCTCTAATAAAACTGGTCATTTTCTAAAAATTTTTACCAGCTGTATTAAAACCGGTATCCCGGTATTAATATCTAAAAAATACCGAATACCGGTATTGAACTTTTGGTCCGATGTTGCAATCACTACTCACCATCTGTGAATGGTTTGCCTTTTTTTTTTTTTTTTTTTGCAATTTCTAGTGGCGCCGCAAAGAAGCCAAATTCGAATTGAAACCTACATAGAAACATCCGACGACGGCGTCATTCGAGAGCTCTGACGACAGTGATGACGTGTGTCACGGGGGAGGGAGTGCGGTGAAAAGCGAATACAAGTGGCTGAGAGATAGAATCGGTGCCTAATCCTCGTTAATCGATTCAGAACGATTTTTAAATGTTTTTTTTTTTTTTTTTTATAAAATAAATAATATTTGCGTATGGAACTAAAGAGCCGCAGCTTCATATCCAAAGAGCCGCAGGTTCAGGGTGGGACCCTGTTCTAGAATCATAAGATTTTTTATTTCTGAATATGGCAACAATAATTGTAGGTCGTTAGTAGCGCCACCTTTAAAATGACTGAGCTTCCTGAGTAATATTCAAGACTTGATTTGTGTAATGAACGCCACACCTTTCCTTGCTTTTGTAATTAACACTAAATGTTTATCTGTATGTAATTTAATGCTGCATAAATTCTTGTTCACAAACTGGTCCCATCATAGCAACCTTTTTTTTTTTTTTTTCCTCCGATTATTTTTTAAGTAAATCAACTGCAGTGATTGAGGCACATTTTTTTATGTATGTAAAAATTAAAACACCTTAAATAAATTAAAACATTCACAATCAAAAATAAAAAAAAAGATAAGAAAAAAATTTAATTGGCTGGATCAATAAAGAGATTAAAAGAAAAAATTTAGAATTTAATGTAAGGATAAGGCGTCTAACACCAATCTTAATCAAACAAATAAAGAAACATTCTCAATAAATCTTATTCAGGCAATAAATTATGTTCATCAGTTATCGTTCAAAAATGATAAAAAGAAACCGATTAAATAAATAATATAAAATTGCTGAATTCCAAACGATTTTATGAAAAAAAAGTACGTGAAAAAAATTTAATAAAAAATCACTTAAAAGAAATTTTCAAAAAATAATAAAAAAAAAAAAACTATACAATTCCAAACGCTTTAATAAAAAATCACATGAAAGATGTTTAAATAAACCAATAAGGATAGCTAGTAAAAAGAAATTTAAAAATAAATTAATTAATTAATTAGAAATATTGAAAGTGGTCAAGAAAACTAAAAACTGATCAAGCACATGAAAAACCCCGCTCCATAAAACAATGCCCATAATCTTGTGTGTAATAAAAGATCTCATGGATAAACACAAACTTTAATTAGTATGAACATAAAAATTACTTTGTTTAATAAAAAATTATCGCTTTTAAAAATAAAATCATTAGATATTCCAAATTCTTTTGAGCAACATATTGATTAAAAAAGTTATATATATAAGTTTGATTACCAAATTCAATTAAGAACCAAATATTTTTAATAATCTTTTCTTGTTAAACGGTATAATTTTTTGCCATAAGAATTTAAGTATTCAGTTTGTATGATTACATATTTTTGATTCATTTCAACTATTAATAATTTTTGCCAAACTGATATTCCGAATATTTTTATTGATTCTGATATTCCTGCTATTCATGATACTACTGTGTCCAAAAAATAAGACCAATTTTCAATTTAAAAAATTCAGGGGGCTTGTGGAGTTTCAGTTTTTTTCCCCCTCTTTTTACGTTGCTGGCACTGCCCTTGACATCTGTGTGAAATTTGACGTCAAAATATTCATTAGGTTTGAGTTACGCTTGGCTTTGTGAGACGCTAAAACTGATTCCGGTGATTTTTGAAATGTCTGAATTAATTGAGCAAAGAACTTGCAGTAAATTTTGTTTGCGGAATTAATATTCGTGTGCGGAAATGTATAGAATGTTGCAGAAGGCATTCGATACTACTACTAGATTGGATAGAGAGTCGAGTACCTGTGCACATCTGCTATGAATTCAAGTATAATAAAAACAAAGTATCACAGAATTAGCAGGAATTAAAAAATTTAAAGCAAACAGTTAATAGGATGGAAAGAAGTTAAAAAAATATATATGAAAAAAGGGGGGGCGAACAAACTAGGAGATGACAATCAAGCAATATCAAAATACATAAATGCACAATAGAAGCATATTAATACGTAAATACATAGCAGACAGACATATAAATACATATATAATGAAAATAAATAGGAATTATAAATGTACAATCACAAAAATAATAAAATTTTTGAATGCCAACGGCACGCGGTGTCCCAGGTGGTCACCCTCCCAAGTACTGACCGCGCCCGATGATGCGTGATCGAACGAGAACCGGTATATTCAGCATGGTATGGCCGTTGGCAGGCATTCGATAAGCAAATTATATCGGAAAAAAATTTTTAGTAGTGTAAACAGTTCAAAGAAGGCAGAGAACGCGTTGAAGATGAAGAGCCCTCTGGTCGACCATCCACCTCAACATACGAAGCTCACGTCCAAAAAAATTACAGATTTGGTGCTTGCAAAAACCGAGGCAATTTACAATTAAAGACCTTGCTGATGATGTTGGTATTTTAAAAGGACTGGTCCATTCCATTTTGGGCCTCAAACGCGTCAAATCTCGATTGGTACCGGAAACAATGAATGCTCAGCTCCCACTGCATTGATTCTTCGTGACTCTTTCGCCAAAAATGAAACCCATATCGTTCCACAGCCATCGTATTCACACCGTGCGACTTCTGGATATTCCCTAAACTAACAAGACCACTCCGGCGACATCGTTTTGAGTCGATTGAAGAGATTCAACGTGAATCGCCGCGCGCTTTGAAGACCATCCCTGGCGATGACTTTTAGCATGCATGGAAGATTGGAAAAAAATTGGCATAAGTGCATTGGGTCCGGACAGGACTATTTTGAAGGCGACGAAATAAATTTGGGAGAATAAATAAAAGAGTTTTTGAAAAAAAAAAAAAAAAAAAATTGGTCTTACCTTTTGGGCATAGTAGTATTCCTAATATAAAATAAAGTGAATTAAAGACTATTATGAAATTTACTGATGATAAGGGGTAGTAGGGGGAAAGAGAAGGTTAAAAGTTTGAAAGTCATCCGTCTACTATATTGTGCTAGGTCAAAAGTATTTTCATAGCATTTCTTTCCTTATAAAAAAAAATTGAACTTATTTTATTTTTTGAATATTGATTATATCATTTTCCCAGTTTGCATGGTAGAATTCGATTTTTCGTATCGTTGCCATTATTTATGCATTCAAACTGAATAAATAACCTTATTTATTCGAATTAAAAATTGGTCGAGTTTTCCTTTTTTTTAATGCAAAATGAATATCAACGTGTTTGTATGAATTTAAATTCGGAAATGATCGATCTGCTACTGTAATCTGTTTATAAATAAATCATGATCGAATTTTGGCAGAACATAATTTCTGTTTTGTATAAAATAACTATTTACCATTTAAAAAATTATGTTTCTTGTTTTTACATTCAAACTGAATATATAACCTTATTTATTTGAATTAAAAACAGTAGTGCTTTTCTTTTATGTAAAATGAATATCAATGTGTTTGCATGATTTTAAATTAGTAAACGATCGATCTTCTACTACAGGGGTCTCCAAACTACGGCCCGCGGGCCAAATCCGGCCCGCGACAGCGAATAGTTTATTGTTGCTGTAATAAGTTGGATAAAAAAACACAGAATGATAATAACTCGGTTTTATTGACTTGCTAGGTAAAGCTTAATGAAAAGCATAATACGCAGAAAATTTAACTTAAGCATAACCAACAAATAATTACACTAACATTATAAACTAGTGAACATCCCGCGGTAGTTATGTTGGGGTAAAGAGTATCGCATATGTATGTACATCGATGTTTGGAATGTATATATCCTGAATCAAACATGATTTTTATCCTGAAAATCTCAATTACATAAATCTAAAATCTGACGGAAAAGCTAAATTAATGCGAATGAAACCGCGGGGTATCCGCTTGCAAAAAAAAAAAAAAAAAAAAAAAAAAAAATACTAATGATATTTATGTAATTGTGATTTTTCACTGACAATTGCTTGTAGTTTAGCAAGCGTATGCTCGCTCAGAGCGCGTACTGGACGACTGGTCTAGAAATTATAGATAATGGCAGAAAAATTAAAACGGTTTTGACCCTTGGTACTTACTGGAATAAAAAGTATCGCCCTAAGGCTGGAAAGTTTGGAGACCCCTGTTCTACTATATCGACGACTAACAAATAAATCCTAATCAGTTTTTGGCAAAACATAATTTCTGTTTTGTATAAAAACAACAACTATTTACCATTACATTCAAATTGAATATATAACATTATTTATTTGAATTAAAAACAATAATGTTTTTCTTTTATGCAAAATGAATATCAATGTGTTTGAATGATGTTAAATTCGAAACTATCGATTTTTGGCAGAACATATGTTTTTTATAAGATAACTATTTACCATTTTAAAAAGGGATGTTTATTGTATATCGATTTATATTTTATAGTTTTCATCATAAGGCACACTAATAGAAACAGATATGACGGCACAAATTTTAATATAAACAAACACTTTTTATCTAATGTGTTTAAAAATTTCTTCAATAATATGAATACTAATAAATCTTGATTTTTTTTTAAAGGAAACTTTATGATAAAAACTTTTAATTAATGGTTTAAAAATCGATAAAGCTCACTTAGAAAATTTATCACAAACATTAAACAAGTTGGCCCTTAATTTGGTACTATATACAAATAACAAAATTTTATGCTTTATACCGAGAGAACCACACAGGAGCGCTAGCTATAGCAGTTTTGACTCTTTCACAGTTCAACTATATCGAAGACATTTTATAACGCGCTAGATATTTGATAGATAGATATAGATAGATATTTGCGAAAAAATTAAGACATAATTGCAAATTTATACGTGTTGAATTTTTGTACTTTTTAAACCAGTAATTGTAAATTTATCAAAAAATTTAATAGTTTAGAAAAAACTAAAAAACACGTTTTAGAGTTAATCAAACTAAAAAGTAAAAAATAATTATTAACATAAGAATAAAATGACTGACGAGAAAATGAATGTCACTGTTTTAAAAGCGTGAGATGCCTAGTATGATATTTTAAAACTGACTCTGCATTTCGAATGAAACTAGTGAAAAATTATAACGATTGATATCGAGCACCCCACGCTTTTAGAACAGTGACATTTATTTTCTCTTCAGTAATTTTATTCTTACGTTAACAATTATTTTTTACTTTAATTAACTCTAAAAGCGTGTTTTTTAGTTTGATTAACTCTAAAAGCGTGTTTTTTTTAACCTATTAATTTATTTTTTACTGTGATTAATTCTAAAAGAGGTTTTTTTTTTTTTTTTTTAAACTATTAATTTATTTTTTGCTTTTTAGTGTTTTTAAACTATAAACCTGGTACAGAGGACTGGTTCTGACAATAATTTAATTGTGAGTAAAACAAAGGCTAAATGCGAATATGTCGAGGCAGCCAGGATTCGAACAGGGAATCTCCTAACCCGTAGTCAGGCGCGTTATCCCACGTAGGTTAGAATGTCTGTAAATGTTTCTTTGCAGCTTAAATAGTGTGTAAGAGGAGAAACAGATCTCCAGGAGAAAAAATGTTGCGCCGATCAAGATGACTTTTCAAAGGTTGTGTGCTTTAATCACTAATCCTGGCGATCCTAATCATGATGAGATAATAAACTCATCAAAATATTTTAGTGTCGTCGGTCCTTGATAAGTCTACAACGTTTAAATTAAATCAGATCGCTTAAAGTATGGCACAATCGAGCCCAAAAAGTCAGTTACGTACATACAAACATATAGGTGAAACTAATAAAAGCGTATTAATGAGACACATCAAAAGTCAACGTGTGGTTCATAGAGATGCCAACTTCAAGAGATTTTTCAGTGGTCTACATAAAATTGAATGTTTGTATGTAAGGTATTATAATGTAACGTAACAATTATAACACTTACCGTCCAATTTTTTTTTTTCTCTGGTGTTATTATTCTTTAACCTCGTGTCAAGCCAAAAAATTGCGAATACATTTTATTAGTCCTTTTTAATTAAACAAAAAACATTTTCTGTCTAGTGCTACTTGTTGATTTGATTTAGAAATTTTTTTTAAAAATTAATAATTAAGATAATTGTTGAAAAATAAACAAAGTTAAATTGTTTCAAATATTCATTTTTTGATGAGATTGTGATCTTTTTTTTTTTTAAATAATTTTTTTTCCAACTATATAGTCTTATTTACATTTCACTTTCGAAATTCTTTTTTTTTTAAATAATTGTTCACAATAATGTTTTCTTTACAATTTGGTAAACCACAATTCTTAATCGTTATCAGTGTTACGCATCTGCTGTTACTCTTTTCTAGATTCCTTTATTGATATTTTTCTTTCTAAATTCTTTTTTATTTAACAATTGTTCACAATAATTTTTTTTTACAATTTGGCAAACCACAATTCTTAATTGTTATCAATCATTGTTCCACATTTGCAATTGATCTTACTATATTTATATTTTATTTTCTAAATTCTTTTTAATTGTAAATAATTGTTCTTAATTTTTTTTTTTATCCCTAATAAAATTTACTAAAATTGACGTCTATGTCTCGAATAAATTCATGAATTATTTTATCATTGCTTCTTAAAATTCGATGCTGATTTAAGATGGTGGATATATACATGAATGCTTTTAATTCATTAAATGAAAAATAAAAATGTAGTTAGGCAATTAGAAAAAGCCAGCATATCATATAATTTTTCGTAAACGAATACAGAACTATTCCAATAAATTCTATTTTCCCTCAAGTAAGTACCTTGCAGTTATTCTTAAAAATTTTTTTTTTAAAAATCGTGTTAGCGACAATATATTTATCGCACACATTATTGAATGTTCCTTACTTAGTTATTTAACAAGTTGCATAAAATTTTTTTCAAGAAAGCTAACATTTTTTCAATTCCTTCTATTATAGCTCACACTCTCCCTATATATATCTTGTTCAAATTTTCAATCGTTCATAAAATACTTTTTATTCATCCACTTCAAGTTCAAATAAATTTTTGTTTTGAACTTGCAGTGGATGACACTTGATGTTAATGCAGTTTTTTCAAATATTAATTCATTAATTAAATTTAATTAATTTTTTTTTTTTACATTTAAGTTGCATATATGTACCAATAGATGGCACCAGATAAACTTAAAAAAAATGAATGAAAATTATTTATAAATGACTTTCTACAGTAGAGTGAAAAGAGAGTTGGAATTGACATTAAATTTTTTTTATATATATATATATATATTACTTGTTTTTCT